TCTGGGCTTAATGCTTCCTTCCGAGTCAGACCGCTCGTCCTCCACCCTGTTGTTACCTGTGCGTTTCTTTCCTTTTCTTATCTGGTGCTTCCGTTTTGGATGATGGAATAGTGGGGTCTTAAAAGACTGACAGGTGCCAACCAATCGCTTGTCGTCGTCTCGACACATATTATTGCTTTAGATACATTATACGACTCTTTTGAAAAGACCATTATCCACACCTTTAGTCGTATTTGGCATATAGGGCGGGGCCTTTATGTTATAGACCGATCAGCACTCAATATTTGATGCGCTCAAAATCAACCGGCCGCCTTTATATTCCAGGAATTTACCTGATATCCATATAAGACTGGGACGATCTCAGAGCTCTAAAGTCATTTTGATCTGAACCCCCGACCTGTTGATTCCACACGCGAAGGTCTAGCCGCTATACCACGACGGTGCCCTAGTCTTGATAAGTGCCACTAAAATATACTTTATTACCCATAAGAAAGAAATCCAGCGAGACACACACATTTAATGTTTGGAGCGAATAAATTAAAAGACAATGCAGTTTTATAGACACACGTTCCATCAGGAAATAATGGCATTACTTTCGTTAATGCAAACGGCGTGTGGTGACACAACAACCACACGAAAACGTCACAGGTTTGTGCTCAAACTGTGACAGAAAAACGTGGATATCAAATTGTATTACAATGTTGGAAATAACTTGGTAAAACTAATGCATGATGGAATGGGCTTTTGGGGCTGCCATTTGATTGGATTAATAGAAAACTCGACGTGTTCTCGACACATGATGGCAGCGAAGAGAGAGGGAGAGAATGAGAACACCGGATTGCGAGTGTCCTGTCTGATCAAATTAAAGGCATGCAAGCATTTCTGTGATAAACCGTGGCCGAATGGTTAGAATGTCAGGCCTTTGTGCAGGAGACCCGGGTTGGCACCCTCGATAAGGTGATAGACATTTGAATTTCAGGAAAATTTGACTAAAAAGCTTGACCAAATGGGGAAAGCAGAAAAACGTGCACAAAACAACACAAATAACGTAACGTTTCGGCCAGCCAGCCTTTTTCAAACATAAAGTGATCTACGTACAAATAACAACGAGGAGAGGAGAGTATACATATCTCTAAGGGGTGACGTGAGCAACGTTTTAAAAAATGTGATGTGGAATAAATGAATCAAAATAAACTATCGCTAAAAAAATCATAGTCGCAAAAAAAAAAAAAAAAAAAAAGTAATAATTTTAATATATATTATAATATTGGGAATAAAACAAATACAAATGGTAATTATACATAAATGATACTGATACGAGATAGAATAAAGTAATAATTTGAAATAAAAGAACAGAACAGAAAATAATTAACATTTAAAATGTGAAAAGAGTAATACTGTTTAGATGAAGGTATGTTGGATATTGTTACCACCTTGACTAAGAACGCCTAAGCTGTGGATGAGGCGATTTTCCAAAGCGAGGCGCGTAGACATTTGTTATGTCGGAGGCAATAATAGACGTTCTAGACCTGAAAACGGCTTCTGTAGTATAGATACGATTAAAGGAGACACACCTAAACTATTTGTACACTAAAAAGGGGGCGGTGGGAAACGAGTTTCCACATGAACGTTGTATAACCCATATAAAAACACAATTTTGTCACGTTAGACAACAAACCCGACGCTGAATTCGTATTCCCAGACCCCCCGGGTGTAACTGCGTCATTACGTAGGTTGATTATACATGTCCTTACATGTGAACGCAACATCAGAGCCCTGTTTAACTTCAAAGCGACGCCGTCTTGTTGAATGTAATCTACATGTGGAAAATGCATTAAAACAAATCGATGCTTCTCGAACATCTGAGAAGTTTTCTCCGATCTGGCTTCTGTCGATACGGTCAGTCAAGATATCATATGTGTTGTTTAGGTAGGATTAGGTAAATATATGGTCCTGTGGCTTGGTTTGACTTTTGTTTAAATTACTCGACATAGAGTTAAATGATACGAATACAGAGAGGGAAAATGTTTCCGGTTGCGTGTCAGTGTGGGTTGTTGGTCAGGGACTGGGTTTGGGTGAGCCAACATTATCAATACATTGGTTTGTGGGTATATGTAGCCAGCATTATAAAAACATAGGTCTGTGCTTTGGATGAGCCAGAATTATCATAACATACATCTGTGTGTGTAAAAGTATGGCAGAATTAGAGGTACAAACAACTAACAGATGAAAACGCTGGGCTAGATGATGCAATAGTGTATAACGACGGTTCTGTTAATCGGGGTGAAAAATATGTTTGGGGAATTTCCGCTAGAGTGAAGGGAAAGATGGTGGGTTTAAAAAAATAGTGCTTTTATTTTTTCAATCTTCAACTTCAGTCAAGAAGATTGGAGGTGGAGGCAATCACTGCAGCTCTGAGGTGGATACTAGAGAACAGAGTAACCCGAGGAATTGTAGTGACTGACTGATTATTGGTCGGTAGTGCGAAAGATTCAAAGTGTACAAATGTGGTTGGAGTGGATACCACACATTCGCACGTCAACATTAGATGTCCTAACGTGGTTATACTGTCTGAGAAACACAGGAGTGCATGGAATTACATCGTTATTAATCAACCCCCCCCCCCCCCCCCAATCCAGTTTCGTCTTTTTTAGGATGAAATTTTTTGTTATTTGAAGCTCCACTCTGGCTTTTGCCAGGGGCCGCAATATAGGCAGGCCATAAATATGGCCAATTGTCTGAACGCGGTTTCTGGGACCTCTCCACGGCGATCCTCATCCGCATGGTGGCACTTTCTGTCATCGGGTGTTGGTCGCTTGTGTGATGTCCTAGTGGGGTAGAAAGTCAGTCAGTCAGTGCATGGAAATAAAGAATTGATATTCTGGCTACAAAAAGCGATAGCTACAGAAACACGGGTATTGGATAACAAGACATGCTAAAGCTCATCTGTGAATAAACGCTCATAGAAAAACAGGAGGTTAGATAAAAAAAAAAAAGAACAGAAGAATGCTTAGAATACCATGGACAGCCAAAAAGAGCAACCAAGAGGTTTTGAAAGAGGTGGGAGCCCGAAGACAACTTATCACAGACATCAGAAAGAGACAGCCATCATTTTTTCGGCCATGTTGTGAGAAGAGGGAAAATAGAACATGTTGTGACCACAGGAAAGATCTGTGAAAGGAGGGATAGAGGAAGACAACGAGAGAAGATTCTTGACAGTCTTGTTGCATGGCATGGAGGTGTGTCGGCACACGAACTGATACATGCTGCAGGAGATCGTGGATTATGGAGAGGCATGATCGACCACGCCAGTCGGCAAGGCACCTGGTTGATGATGATGAGATGAAATAACCTGTGTAAGAATGTCTAATTGAGGAATATGAGGTGGATCAGAAAACAACGGGCTCATGAGTAAAAGAGAACGACCTGTGTGATAGGAACAGTTTGCAACTACACCTCAAGACATGGTTTGCAGGAGACGGAGCACCTATAGATATACCCGTGTGTTATGACTTCAATTCTTAATTCAGGAAATCAGGAAATCAGAAATGCGGTTAGGCTGATCTAATATTATCATAACTTAGGTTCTTAGTTTGACTGAGCAAACTTTAGCAAAACAAAGGTGCGTTGTTTGGGTTAGCCAGCATGACTGTAGGAGACATGGGGTCAAATCCGCGGTAAGGTTATCGGATTTTTTTTTTCTGTCGGGGGCACAACATAAATTCTATCCTGCATACTCTGTGCCGATAGCACTTGCCAAAGAGCCCTAAATCCTTAGTTTCAAGGACATCCATCTCTACACACCGCAAAAGTGGTTAACGCAGACAGTGATGCCAGTTGTTTGAACGTAACTATAACACAGGTTTGTGGTTTGTTGGAACCAGATTTATCATAAAATAGTGGGGCTGCGTGGTCTCCAGGTATGGCATCCGCCTCGAATGCTGGAGGTCCTGGGTAGTAAAAGCAGACGCCCGTGTGTATTGTTGCGTTTATCAAATTCCTTGGCAGTAGGAAATAGGCAAAGAGGAGCCTAACGGCGCATGCACGAGATGATGATCATGATGATAACAGAGATAGTATAGACATGTATGTGACATATGTACGTGTGTGTGTCTCGGGAGAAGGTGTTAAACATCCCCAGAATAAAGACACCCCTAACACTAACTAGTAATTTAAATCGACCCATCAAGAAGCCAGCGGTATATAATTCTGATTTCATGTACATGTTGAATATTGAATGTTAAATGTTGAATGTTGAATTAGGAATTGACATCACAGCACTCTGGATACTCCCATAAGTGATCTGTCCCCATCTTCAGCAGCAAGCGAAGAGTTCCAATTCCGATAGCACCGGTAACCGTCTGATTGCATAATTCATGTACATATACCCTATCATGGGCACAGAACTACAGGATATACCTGTGTGGTGTTGCCTTTACAGGTTTCCCGATTATGACCTGTTGGGGGTTGAACTGAACATCTGGGATGTGCGTTGCCGTTCTGCAGTCCAAGACGAGACTTATAATCTCAGAATGGTATGGTAAAGCGTTAGATAGCAGTTCGGGGTGGATAAAGAGGTGGATGATATAATTATAAAAAAGGTCCCGATGGGTGATGAGGTCACCATCACTCCCACCTCCTTTACTTCCCAGGCCATTACCCGGTAAACATTTTAGACTGGTTTGACCTGTGAGCCAAGGTCGATTTCATAAGCAAACGAAAACCGCACAAAATGTCCATCACTGTCCCTTGTTTAAAAAACGGAAACAGACCGCGGTAGACCGCAGTCTCAGCAAAGTCAATGGCATGCACACGCATTACATGCATAAGGCAGCCGTCGGTAGTGAATATACAAGCAGCCCGACACTAGAAATGCGGTTCGTCGTATACAGAAGCAGCAGATACAACTGATCAAGGACAGTGAAAGTCAAAAAGACAACACTGCAGAAACAGATAATCTTCTTCAAGAGAAATTAAGAGGATACATATCTATATCTTACCTTTCGCTTGTTCCGGCATCTAATATCCTCGTTGTTGACCTGTGCCCCTGGCCGGCGAGCTCCCCAGATATGCCAAGCAATCCTGCAGTAACAGAAGGTAATCACCACCAGAGGCAGCAGGTACTGCACGCAGACCAACAAGCAGTTGTAGTAGAGCGAAAACCACGTCCATCCGTCGGGTGTGTGCAAAGAACACAGCGGAGTCAGTGCGTTATTCTCTGGGATATACTCCACCCAGTAAAACTGTTGAACCGGCACTGCTACCCCGATGCCCACTGTCCAGATGACGCTGATGATGATGGCGGCGGATCTCTTAGAGCAGCCGGCTTTGAAAGGGTGGATGACCGCGATGTATCGGTCCACGGCGATGACGGTTAGGGTGAAGATGCTGACGTTGACACTGATGACCTGGACGAATGGAGCCAGGGAGCACATGAAGTTTGCCAGCACCCACCGCTGGAGCAGTGCCGCCTGAAACTGAAGTTGACAGAAAAGTTAAAAGTTCACAATTTCGGTAGCAAATAGGTAATATTATCTTCTTCTTCTTCTTCGAGTTTACCAGCTGTAAACTCTGGCAGAAAATTCTAGTTCATCCACTTTTGGACTGCAGTCCTGCTCCAGAACCTGTGTGTTGCGTGTGCATCCGTTTTACAGATCTGACTCATGTGTATGCAGACTGCTGGTTCCTTGCCTCTCAGGCAGATGCACTTGTTATAGCTTGCTGTCTGTGTTCACTGTCTGTAACCTCATGTGGAACGCCCTGGTTGTCTGTCTATTTCCAGACTTCAGCTATGCTCAAGAATCTGAGTTTTACGTGTGTAAGTATTTTACAGATTTGACATAATTGCAGACTGTTGGTTCCTTGCATTTCGGACAGAGGTACACCGACTCGAAGGAATGCCCTAATTAGTCGACCTACAATATGCTTGTTAGGGAGGCAGTGGGTCTATTCTTGTTTTCCCCCACAATCATCAGTATCGTCATCTTTTTCATTCTATTATAGTATTATATGCCATATAAGCCTCATAGTCTATTGATGCATTATTTTCTCATATGTATTCAGTCCTTTTGATATCATGAATGGAATTCAATCCAGTACCTTTGGCCTCTCTTATCAGGCTTCGTTTTTAGGGTTTCTCATTGACAGCCTCAATCAATTATTATCCCAATGGAATGGTTTCTGTAGCAAATATATGTCCACTCTTCTCCTTTCTCAGCTGGGGTTGGGACCGGACAATAAACCTCCAACACACGGTATGTTTTTAATAGCTATAAAGATGATATTGAAACATTAATAGCTCAGTGGTTAGAAGCTTGCATGCCAATCCTGAAGGTCTTCAGTTCGAATCTCTAATCTGACAGACTTTATAATACACATTTTCTCCAAGGTCGAGCCAGACAAAAATAGTACCAGGAAATTTTGGAGAAAAAACTGCATAATGTTGTTCACATTGCACATCGATTGTCGATAGATGTATAAAAGTGAAGCTACTATTAAAACAGATGGTTGTGTGTTCTTTACAGGGCGTTTTAGAACCTTCTTTTTCTTCTTCTTTGTCTTCTTCTTCTTCTTTGTCTTCTTCTTCTTCTTCTTCTTCTTCTTCTTCTTCTTCTTCTTCTTCTTCTTCTTCTTCTTCTTCTTCTTCTTCTTCTTCTTCTTCTTCTTCTTCTTCTTCTTCTTCTTCTTCTTTTTTTTTTCTTCTCCTCCTCATTTTTCTGCTGCTGCTCCTCCTCCTCTTGTCCTGTATTGCCTTTCAGGTTTTCAGGAAGCACTGGGCTAGAGCGTTGGTATGTGCCACATAAATGCTGGTATTTACAGTCCCAGATAATGCATCTATCCATAGTTTGCGTGGCCGACCTCTGACTTGGCTTCCATTACATCTAAATGACAGGGTTCTATGTGGCGCACTACCTGGTGCTAGTTTTGACGCATGTCTAAACCATTTGATCTATTGTCTCCTGGTATAGTTTAATACTAGTTCCGCCTGAACTTCTTTCATGTTATCGCTATATCTTTTTTTGTCTCATCTAGCTACATTCAGAATTAGCCGTAGACATTTCATTTGTATTTTTTTAATTATTGTTTTTATTTTTATTTTGTCTTTTGTTGTTAATGTCCGCGTTTTGGACTAATACATAATGTTGATTTTTTTTTTTTTTTTTGGTGTGTGTAAATACTGTAATGAATAGTGCTCTTTTTGTGTCAGCTATTACATGTTTGTTCTGCAAATTTTTTTTATATTTGCCTGATGATTTGGTTTGCTCTATTACATTTGTGATCTATCTCTGCTTTGAATCTTCTATTGGATGTTCCTTATATACTTGACGTCTGTTGCTTGCTTGACTTTCTGGCCCTCAGAACCAACCTCCGGATTTTGTTTCTGCAACTGCACTAGCCAAGTTTACGTTCGGTAGTTACCACATCTGAACGGTCGGCTCTCGTTACAACTGTCTGAGCCACTGCTATGCGTTCTCCTGCAACTGCTCTTCCCAGCTGGGATCGAACTCGGCACCTCGGAATTACGAAGCGCTTTCGCAAAGCCTGAGCCACAGATACCGACTGCCATATACCCGATGCGTCAACTGTTTTAGTATATAGATGATTTTTATTGGCTCACTTCTTATGTCCTTTCCTCTGTAATATTTATCCTGCTTATCCGAGTGGCTACTTTAGGTAATAAACAAACTCTACTATAACGACTATTAATACTGTGAAATCCAGTATTTGTCCATGCCAGTACTCGTCTCTTCTTGAATAGGTTCTGCTGTTCGTGGACATGTCTGTTTGGTATTTGCTCGAAAAATCAATGATCGTCCCTCCTCCGACGTGGCAGGTGAGGAAAGTTGTCGAGCGGATTTTACAATACTAGAGCTACTTGAGCTTCATAAAGAACCAGAAGCTGAAGCAATAGGAGACCTTTCATCAGACGATGAAAAAGGATATGTTTGGTCGGTTCCAACTGCTGTGTTTGGGAAATTTTTATTTATTGGGGCAAACATGCACGATGATACTACTACTACTACTGTCAAAATAATAACAACAACAACATTTTGTCTACTACCACACCGACCGCCAATCTTTACCTGGAATGGAATGGAGAAGAGTCCAATGATGACGTCGGCCACCGCCAAGTTGGATATGAAGATATTCGTAACTGTGTGCATCCTCATGTTCTTGACAATCACCAGAATCACTAAACCGTTACCTATGACTGTCAGAACGGATATAGACCCGTACAGAAAAGCCAACAAACAAATCAGCCCTGTTGGAACATCGTAGGGCAAGAAAAAACTGTTGTTTCCTTGTATGCCGGAACTACCAACTGTCCCGTTAGTGAAGAGTATCTCGTTACCGGAACTACTGTTGTTGTTAACGGTTTGTGTGATGATGATAATGGCGGCCTGCTCGGCGATAGCTATAGCTGGCGACTTGTTGTCGTGGTAATCGTCGGCCATATTGCAACTTCTAATTCCGGTTACTCTTGATTTGATATCCTCGTTTTAAGATTCATTATCGATGCAGCAGTCTTTTGTAATTAGCCCATTTTAAGGGGTCATATGCAGTAAACTGAATAAAATAAATATTGTAATTTATATTTATATTAATGAATGCAGTTTCATAATTCCGACAAGTCGTGTTCAATTCAGCTGTAAGTAATTTGACAGAAAACATCTATACGTTCATTCTGACATTGGCGTGAGCGTCAAACCATACAAATCATAAAATAATGGCAAACTAAGAAAAGTAAAACTTCCTAAGGAAACCACACACAGCCCAAAATTGCTTCGGTTGGTTTGCGTCCAACTGTACAGAATAAACGCCGAAATTTTGAAAACATAATTACGAAATATTTCACTCAACAGAAAATAACACTTAATTATCGGGATTGTCCACAAACCGAAGCATTCTACACTGAGTAATCAGCTAGATTTTCTGTGTTACAGTATCAAGCAGTCTCTCACAGACCAAAAGTTGATTCCATGATAATATGTGACTAAACTGCTTAAATAGTGTTGTTGTTTTTTTTTTAATTATTATTTTTAAATCTCAAATTCATAGGAAATTGCTACACAACAGCTACATAATTTCTTGTGTACCTTTGAATCCTTCCAGACGATGCTGGGAAAATGGGGGGGGGGGGGGGCGCAGAGGAATAACAGTCCTGGATATAAATAATTAAACTTTATATATATGTAATCTTCTTCTTCTTATTCTTCTTCTTCGTGTTCACCAGCTGTACACTCTGGTGGAAAGTTCTGGTTGCTCGTCCACTACTGAACTGCAGTCGTGCTCCAGAACCTGAGTGTTGTGTGTGCATCAGTTTTACAGATCTCATTTCTTGAATACAGACTGTTGGTTCCTTGCCTCTCCGGCAGATGCACTCCGACTTCAAAGGAAGCTCCCCAATTAGTCGACTCTTACGACATGCTTTTTGGGGAGGCAGTGGGTCTATTCTTGTTTTTCCCTACAATGGGGGCCCCAGAACCCACACTATTTGTAATCGATGTGTGGCCTAGTTAAGATCAGCCAGCCTTGTGTTTTTGCGTGATGTTCATATGAAGCAAATTGATGTGTGAAGGAAACGAAAATGCTTTCAAGATCAAACGTAATTGATTGTAAAAGATGGTTGTCTGAAAGAGCTGAATATGATACAAGACTGTGTGCCCAATTTGTGGTGCCTAAACGATAAAACAAATTAAATACAATAAAATGTCTATACTGTGTAAATAAAGAATATTATTTCGTTCATCCAAATACAGTTTAGTTGGGTATCCTTTATAGTACCTTGCAGAACCAGCCCCAGCATTTTGTTTCGCTGTTGTGGTTTCTCTTGGCAAATGTTACCTTCAGTAGTTTGCCATTGCCTTCTAAACGGTCAGCTCTAGAAATCAACATACCACAAATCGTTCGCATCTAGGATCGAACCCGACACCCCGGCATTACGAAGCGCGTTCGCAACTCCTAAGCCAGAGACGCTGACATTAATCAAATACACTTTCATAATTTTTTTGCGTCATAATAGTTTGCTAAATCAACTGATTATATTCTTTGTTGCATTAGTTCTTCAGCTGTATAGCTTTTTTTTTTTTTAAACTCCTTGAAACACGGGAAATTTCTTATTTTCACAAGAACATCTCGGCGTAGACGTTGGTAGGCAGGTAAGTTTTACCCCACCAGGACATCACACAAGCGATAAACACCCGGTGACACAAAGTGCCACCATGCGGATTAGGATCACCCGTGGAGAGGTCTCGGAAACCCCGTTCAGCCGCTAGGTCACATTCAAGGCCCGGCTGTATTTAGGGCCCTCGGCAAAAGCCAGGGTGAGGCTTCAAAATCACTCAAAATTACATCACATAAGGGATGACGAGACTTGCTCAGTGTAGACGCCGCTAACCTAACTCGTGTGTGGAAGATAAGCTTTGGAAGGGTCCAGTTCCGACGGGCCTGTGTGCCCAATTCGTTACCCGTTGAAACTAACATTCTGCATTATGTAACTCCCCTTACGTTTTTTGTGTCATCCAAAAACCGTATACTTTTGAACTCATAACACAATCTGTTGCTTTATTAATTAATTCTTTTATTTGTCAAATTAGTTGTGTATGTGTTTTTTTTTTTTCGCTCCCATTCTGGCCTTCATCAACGTAGGCATGTTTCAATACAGATGTTACAAGATAAGTTCGTGATATTTCTGGGATGACTTTTTAACACCTGCGGAGTTCATAGTTTACAATGATTGTCATATAATGAGCGCTTCGGTTGGAGTTTGGAATTTGCTGTAACTATGTTATGAGACACGCTGCACTACTTAAATTCAAAGTTCACATAGAAGAATATTTATTGAGACATTTTACACTAGCCGAACTCGCACTTTACCACTGATTATCGGAAAATGAGAAATTTGACACTAGCGGAATTCACAGTCTAAATTGCATATCATATAATAGGATACTTGATTGAAACGGAATTCAACATAAACATTGGTTATAATATAATGAGATACTTTACTCTAGCGGAATTCACAATAAACATTGGTTATCATATATTGAGATATTTTACTCTAGCAGAATTCACAATAAACATTGGTTATCATATAATGAAATATATTACTCTAGCAGAATTCAAAATAAACATTGGTTATCATATAATGAGATATTTTACTCTAGCGGAATTCACAATAAACATTGGTTATCATATAATGAGATATTTTACTCTAGCGGAGTTCACAATAAACATTGGTTTCATATAATGAGATACTTTACCCTAGCGGAATCTATATATATAAAAATCAATGTTTGTGTGTTTGTTTATGAGCTATAGACTCGGAAACTACTGAACCGATTTAGCTGAAATTTTCAGGATATGTTTGTTTTGATACCGGATGTTCACTTATCATGGTTTGAAATTCAACCTGTCATTGTTAGAGATAGTGTGCGACAATTTAAGCAAAAATATTCGAAACTAATATTTAAATTGTTAGTGACATCTAATTATAGCCTCGTTAGTAATTGCGCATGCGCCGTAGTCAGAACGCAAGACTTCCACCATTCGCCGGCGAGTGACGTGCAGCCAACGCCTTCTCTAATACATAAGAGTAGGTCGTGGTACAGCAAACAAGACTATCTCTATATTTGTGTAGGCAGTGATTGCCACAAAAACCATATTAAACACAATTTCTATTGTCTGTTTGTCTGTTTTTTTTTCAAACAACCTTCGATGGGGGGGGGGGGGGGGGGGGGGGGGGGGGGGTGCATCAAGGACTATCTGTCGGCGCAGACATTGACTGCGACATTAACTTCATTAACCGTGTTAGACACGTGCGATTTCTATTGTTGTGCCGTTTCATTAATATATCTGGAGTATCTGTCTATGAGAAAACAATTGCCTGCGGTTTTGAGTTGTGTTATAATCGGGACACAGTAGTAGGGACACACATCTCTAATACTTTAGTTCTCCTTTCATTGCTCTGATGAAGTGGCTGCTTGGTCGAATGGTTAGAACACTGGGTTCCTGTGCGGGCAGAAGTTAATTTTTTTTTTTTACCCCGGAAAAAAATAATATTCTCATCTGCTCTGTCGTGGTGACAGCACTAGCCATGTTGCCCTTAATTAATACTAGAAAGAAAAAAAAAAGACAAGTAAATGGGTAAACCATTTGATAATTAAATTTGACCATTTCGCATACTTATGATTGCATTTTTAAACTTTCCGATTGCATGGTTACGCTGAAATTTCATAGCTTTCCATTTATTTTCATTTAGATTTAGTTATTTCATCTGCGTTGGAATTTTAAGCTGTGCTGTTTACCATAGCGTCCACTTCCGAATTATGGTGTTTTTTTCCCTGTTTTTATTTGCTTTTCAAGTGTTTTTTTTTTTCTTTCTCCCAACTACTTCAATGAGGGAAAGAGTTGTCGGTGAATTGGGGGGGGGGGGGGGGGGGGCAAACTGTTAACTGAGAAAGCTTTAAGTCACAGTATCTGCTTTACCCACTTAAAGTAGCAGCAGCAGTAGTAGTTGTGGCTGGGCTGTTACACCGTAGTGCTCTCATGTGAAGACCGCCGGTAAGGTTATGCCGTTCTTCTGTCGGGAAGCGAAATTATACATCCTAACCTGACCAGTCTGTGGCGACAGCACTAGCCATGCGGAACCAAATCTTCTGGCTCACGACTCTCTGTTACTCCAATGGTAACACAGATAGCAGTGACATTATTTTAGCTACTGTGGTGGTGGTCGTGGTAGTAGTTGTACTGGTACTTGAAGGATGATGTGGTAAATATTACACTAGCCCCATTCACTACTATTACAATTCCTGCTCCCCATTTTAGTCCGGATGGACAGGGATGGTCAATGTCAATGACAGCAACAACAAAATATCGCCAGGTAATGATTTTCAAATCCTTCGAACAGGGAGAGAGCAGTAGTCGGTGGAAGAGGGGAGGGGGTAATGACTTAAATTTAAGAAAACTTAAAGAGCTTTACACGTGATTTTCAAGTTCTCATTACCTGATTTGTTTATATTTTAATAACGCTAACTCCGCTTTTCTATTTTTTTACGACTTACTTTGTTATTTACAAGTACAGTTGTAGCTTTACTTCCGTCTCCTATAAAAATACAAACAGCTTTAGCATGTGATAACCAAATAACCATTTTTGTTACTGTGCTAATAACACTATTTAAACGACCACTAATATAAAGACACAATTATAAGGTGCGTGTTCTAAAGTTGGAAAACCAGACTATCTCTATATCTGTGCAGAGAATGATTGCGACATTAACTATATTAGACACGTGCGATTTCCACTGTCTTTCTTTTCCAAAAACCTTTGATGAGGGAGAGAGTAGTAGGTGGATTTAGTTGTGGTGGTGGGGGGGGGGGGGGGATCAAAGACTATACCTGAGCAGACAATGATTGTATTAGACACCTGCGATTTCTATTTTCTTTCATTCCAATT